TAAATCACGGCCTAATCGAGTCCGTGCAGAGGGCAGCGGCGCTAATTGAGGCATGAGATGCGGCGGAGGGGCGCTTACATCTGGGTTTATGTGACCGGAGGACCCGTGTGTGTAGACGGAGGACTGAACTGAGCATGCGCGGGCTTCATGCCAAGCGGTGTTCACATTTTGTCTCTTTAGGTTAAAGTTAATGTAAAATAACGTTAAACAGTTAGGCTAAATATGCATTTAGATAGCCTATTACAGTAAAATAAAACAAGTGGCCTATTATAGAGAAAATCTACTTGAAAATCTACTTGCTGTTACAAAGCAAAAGCCATTGTGCAGCATAGTGACCCTTTTTAATTCACTAAGATAAATAGATATAAATCTGTGTATTATTAGTGGGTTTTTTTTTAAAATGGTGCAACTGTTAAGATTCAAATTTATTTATATCTAGACATTGGTGGGAGACAGCTTAATTCTATTTAAATGTAATTTTAAAATAATGTATTTTTTTAAATTGTTTGTTTTGTTTTGTTTTGCTTGTAAAATCTCAGTAAAAAAATGTCTAGCCTATATTTGTCAACTAAATAGAGTGAAGTAAAAAGTTATAAACATTGTATCTGATAAATCTGACTGAAGTATGAATTGAAAGATATAGCCTATAAGTGCAGGAACATCAAATTTCCATTTTAAATAGAAAGAGCTCTGTTGGTTTCCACTATGAGGACTTACTTGATTTCGACCTATAGCCTAATTTACTGATGCTGCTTTGTTAGTTATTCTGAGTTGGCCTAAAGTCTACTTATTTAACCTTTGTTCTTCTAAGGTCATGATCTAACTTATACTGGCTGTAAATGATCAGTAAAAACCGACTTCAGGTCTTCTTAAATTAACACTAAATGAATGACTGACCTTTATATAACCTTAGAACAATTTAATACAAACACAGGGCATAGACTAGTAGGCTACATGAGACTACAAAACTAGAATATCTCAGCCTAATTATCATCCAGTAGACTTTAAAATTGTATATTTCTTAATTTTGTGTAATTTAAGATGAAGGTGTAGCTTCTATTTGAATTTAGAGGGACATTAGTATTTGCATTGCACCTTTCACCCTTTATTTGTAACTGGCCTGTAGGTCAGCAAGGCTATGGGTGTGATAGGCTATATGAAGACGTCAGTACTTGACCACAGATTTAACTGAGAAATAGGCATAAACCACAAAAAGAAGAGCAGGTTTTATTATTTTACCTGGCAAACAAACTACAGGCTGACACAAACATAGTCCCTTCGACAGTCGGGGAAACAAATAGCAGCATAGCCTATTACTGAATATTGTGAATCAGAGGGGTTTAGAAGTGGGTATACTCTATGGAGACTGAAAAATAATTGGGTATACCTGCTTATACCTGCTTATACCTGCACTACACCACTGCTTACTATTACTTTAGCTGTTTATAACAGCTAAAGTAAACCAGAGACAAATAGGCAGCATGATGAAACACTGCCAAGCTGTAAGGACTACATGAAGTCTAATAGCATCATTAATAGGCTAAAACGTAATGTAGCCTATAATAGCCACCCTAAAACCTTATATTGTTTATATATTTTATTATAAAACCAAGAGAAACCACTTTGCATCCACAAGGGGTTGTCTTACTCAAAATCTCTATGCCTGCATTTGATGGCTAAAGCCTATTGAACCGTTTTTTTATTGTAGCCTATGAATGTTAGGGAGTTTCAAATGGTTATATTTCTATATGAATGTCTGAATAATTGAGAAGTCACCATCTTTATGTTTAAAGAAGCATGCTATTACTGCTTTTAGGGTTAGGGTTAACTGCGGAGGCCCTAATGCGGAGATATCAACTGAACGAGTCCTTACGTTGACGCGTTAGCGGTGCGTTGCCGCCTCCCGCCTCTTGCAGCAGAAGCGGTGCGTTTTTCCGCTCGCTCCAATGTCTAATTTCTTGACTTTTCTGCCTCTGAACTTTGTCAAAACGTGTCAAACTTTTTTCCCGCATGACGCTGCAGAGAAGACGGCTCCCATGTTTGCAGCATCAGCCTCCTCCTCCTTCTCCAAACACAGTAACTTAGCCCATTCCTCCACAATCCCCCGCAGACTGTCACCAAATCAGCTGCATGAAACAAGAATCTCATTTGTTAAACTGGAGCTCGTGCAGATGGAAGATCGATTGTTTTTTTTTCCTCAGAAATCTCTAATTGAGTGAATACAGACTGCAGAGAGAGAGAGAGAGAGAGAGAGAGAGAGAGAGAGAGAGAGAGAGAGGATGGAGAGGGAAGAGAGGGCATAAAAAAAATCCCCTGCTGGGCTGTAGAGGTTTGTACTGTAAGAAAGAGGTCACTTATTCTATGAGAGCACGTTTCTACCTCCACAACAATAATCTACAACATTAATAATGTCACGTTTGTGTTTTTTTTCTGCTCCTATTTAAGTCACTCCTCATCTCCACAGCGCGTGAAAATGTCTACTTTCCACCCAGATGCACCGCATTAACCTGCAGAGGAGGAATTTGGTTTAGTATTTTTCATTATTTTTATTATGGAAATAGAGTGATGGGAGCGTGTTTGTGTTCGTGTTAGTCTGTCAGGGAGAGGTGTATCTTTAACTGTGATCCTTGATTACCCTAATTACAGCCTTATGAAGTCAGCAAAACACACACACACACACACACACACACACACACACACACACACACACATACACACAAACACACACACAAAGAGAAACACACACTTCTGACATCATTATGTGAATAGACGGCTTGAATTATCTCAAACGCATTGCGTAAGGAAAAACATTTTCCAGGGAGAGATTTATCAAACAGCAGATAAAGTTTCAAAAGCATAAAGACTAATGTTAGAATGAACAACATGCTTTAAGGTTTAAATGCAGTGAATTAAATCAGTGTGTGACGTAAATTGTCCAATAACGTATTAAAAGCTTGCAAAGATCAACATGCACATAATCATCTTAATAACTTATAATACAGTCTGGAAATGATGACACGTGTATTTATTTGAAGGGGTGAAAAAACACTCAAATGCATCATTAAAAAATAAAAAAAGAGACCTTTGCTTGTTAGTATTTAACAAAAGAGTAAAAAAAAATATTGCGTTTTTCTGACCCTTCAATTGGTAAATATCTCGTGCGTCCTGACGCTCATCCCCTCGCTCTCGTTGTTTGGGTTAAAATATGACCTGCTGCCACCAGAGGAGTCATTCACTGTGTGTTTGTTCAGCTATAAAAGCACTGAGCTATTGAAAAGTCGTAAAATGAAGCGCGCGATCCATCATCCTGCGATGTGATGATTTTAAATGATGCTTAGAGGCTTTTCAGGAGAGAGAGAGAGAGAGAGAGGAGAGAGCGCGGAAGAGGAGCTGTAAAACAGACGACGGTGCGAGAAGGAGACATTAAATTCTTACAAAATAATTAGGACGAATACAGAAGGCGACACAGATGCGTAATAGCCAATAATGTCTTTATAATTGTGCAAAAAATAAACAACAACATGGCAACATTTTAGAATACATTTAAAGCGTTTAGCTCCATTTTTAAATAACTTCAAATTAAAACAAAAGTAAATCTGTTACGAGATTACCAGCAAAAAAAAAAAAAAAAGACATACATAATATCTCCAAGTGCGCATCTTCTTCTTCTCCTCCCTGGAAGAAAGACGCAAACCTAGATCTCCTCCTCTGCGCGCTATACTCTGCTCCATCTTTCCATCCCTGCCGGTCTGCCCGTGTCTGTGTGGATCGAGCCACCAGATTGCAGACAGATAAAAGATGGACAGCAGCAATAGAAGCCTGAACGGATGAAGAAAAGAACCGAAACGAGCCCAGGGTTCACGCTCGGACGCCTCCTTTGTGCACACTTTTTTTTTTTTACGCACAGAATAAATAAAAGCTGCTCAAAAAAAAAGCTGCTCCTCAAAAAAAACGTCCCGTCAGCTGTCTATAAAGCATGTCAGATTTATATTTTAAACATCCTTACATCTGTGTCAAGACTCGTGTGTGTGTTTATGAAATGAACTAATCTAGCCTTATTTTTGCTTTTGAGCATTTGAGTTGATTTCTTTTTATAGTTTTGTCTCATTTGGCAAAAAAAAGCTTAATTGTGTATAAAAAAAAAGCTCCTTCTTAATAATCCAAACATGCTTTTGTGTTTCCACCCAGGTGTCAGGTTATTCACTGTGCCCCCCCCCCACCCCTTTATCAAAGGCGAGCTCGTGTTAAACTCCCTCCACTTTCCGCCGAATTAATTTGCTCACACATCATTTAAAACAAGTCCCTCCCTTCCTGACAGTCGGGCCTAAACACTAGTAAATTAGCACTAATTTATACTGATCTGACTCTGATATTTGCAATAAAGGCGTGTATGGATTCGGCGCTAATTACATAAAAGCCTAATGGCCTTGAAAATGAGTCTGGTTAGAATTATATAAAGTTTGTTGTTGGGCTGAGAGGGAAATCAGGGGGTATTAGAGGAGGTTCACTTGGTCTCCAGGAGGCATTAAAGAGGTCATAATGGAGATAAAAAATGCACTTAAAGTAAATGCACTTTTGCATTCTGATTACACAGAGTTTATTGTGTGTTTTGTGTTAATGCAGCCATGTTTTTCCCCTTCTCTTCCTGTTGGAAAACAGCATGCACAATTAAACAAATATCTCGGTGATCCAACACTTCTTTGAACGGGTCGAAGCTTTCACACAGATATTAAATCAGGTTATTTTATTGGGTGTAATTTGGAGGAGAAATCAAAGCCAATTACAGGAATGAGGAGGAATGAACTTGTGGATGTGAGAGGATGGAGGAGGGTGAGGAGGAGGGGGGTTCTAAAGCTGACATACCTCAGGCTTCAGCTCTGATTGGTCCTCGTTTGGAGAAGCTCATGGGTTCATTCCGTTGTTAAGCGCCTCCCCATTTCTCTAAACTACATTATAATGCAACGAACCTCCCTTTTAACCACAAACCGAATTTGCTTTCATTTAGGCCATATATATTTCTTAAATAGGTTAAAGTCATAGAGATTTTTTATTTTTTGTGGGAATAGCACTTCGCCCTGGAGCGGTGCGCAATGCTATCTCACGCCGACCTCCTGGATGCTCGCCTCGGTGAGTTATCATCACCAAACTCCGGTCTTCAACTCTACTGTAAGCTGGAGGCGACTTCTAATCTTAAATCAAGCTGTGAAAATTGTCAATTTGCTTCTTAGATGGTCTTAATGTGACTGAAGTGAGCTAAACTCGCTTAATTCATTGGAAAAGTAATTATTATTATTATATTAACGCGTAATTTGATTTAACAATTTCCAAAGATATCGTTGGATCGAATTGAATTAAGAGTATTTAAGGAGCAGATTGGGTGTGTGTGCATGCTGTGCTTGTGTCTCTCTTTTAAAGAGCTGCAGGATTTTTTTAATTCAGCATTTGTGTTTTTAATGCATGCGAAGCTTTTCTCCTGCAGAGAAACAAAATAATCATGTTTCAGCTATTTATAATTCACAATGCTTGCCTGAAAATATTGCATGTGTACAGTTTTTAAAGATGATCTAACATGTCCCTTTTTTTCTTCCTGCAGAGAAAATGTTTTCTGTTTTATTCTCACCAGCTGTGCTTGTTGTGTGTGCAGGGATGAAGGATGCCGCGGCAGAGCTCCTGGGCCACAGGGAGGCTTTAAAGTGCAGACTGGGCGGAGGTGGACCTGACCCGGGCGGACACTCTGGGGAGCTCGGCCCTGGTCCGGACGGTGTAGAAGGAACCACGATGCTCCCCGGTGATGATATCAGCAGCGGCGGAGGAGGAGGAGGAGGTGGAGGAGGAGGAGGAGGGGGATCCAACTCGGTGCAGGTTAACAGCAAAGAGCAGGAGAAGCAGCAGAACAACAACAACAACAACAACCAGAACCAGTCCGGAGGGCAGCAGAACCAGAGTCAGAGCCAGAAACAGAAACGGCATCGGACCCGCTTCACGCCTGCGCAGCTCAACGAGCTGGAGAGGAGCTTCGCCAAAACGCACTACCCGGACATCTTCATGCGGGAGGAGCTGGCGCTGAGGATCGGCCTGACGGAGTCCAGAGTGCAGGTAGGAGGCTGGAGCAGAGTGTGTATTTGACCCACATCGAGGGGGGTGAAACAGCGAGACGGTTCACATGCACAGAGGAAACACAAAGACCGAGGAAAGAATAACTTCAAATAGGAATTTAAAAATTGTCTTACCTTTCAAAAAAGGAGCAGTGATAAATAAAGAAAATAAAGTTAGACACAGTGGCATTGAAGAATTAATTATTGTCTATAGTGTGTTTTAATTGACATTAGCATTAACACCTTTGGACCTGCAACTTTTACGCACAAGCACAGACTTTAATGAAATGCGAATTTAAAAACCTGACCACGTGAGAATTAGAAAAAGGGTCACAAACAATAAAGAAAAGGAGCTTAAAAGTGACAGAGGAGGACAGATCAAATAAACTAGAGCTGTGCATTTTCACTTGTTACTTTCCAAGTGTGTAATGCATCCTGATTTTGTCAGCGAAATTGGTTCAACAAAATGTACTGTTTATTTTTTTCATGGATAGAATTGAAGATTTGATTTAATCAGACTGCGTGTAAAGTGCTAAAATGAGAGAGTTTGTTTCAGCTCCAACTGAGGAAGTAAATGTTCTTTTCTTATTTTAATAAGGGAACCTGAGCTTGGTTTAATATCATTTATTCAAGTGATGTCATAAATCTACGGCCATACACATTTTGTGTTTTAAAACAATCTTCATTTATTTTCAGAAAATTTAGAAATATTATAAATAAACTCTTATGCCACATTTTCTATCCACGGTCAATCTTTCCCTAAAAAAATCCCCCAAAACAAACTAAAGAAAGTTGAAATTTGTGTTTGTGTCATGATTTGGTTTTGTATTTTGTATTTGAGTTTCCCCGTTTTATCCCAGTGTTGCTTGTTTCTCTTGTGTGTTAATGTTTCCTAGTGTTGATGGTTTCTAGTGAGGGCAATCAAGGCAGGGAGAAACACAAGACCAGAAACACTGAGGACAAAACAAAAACAAATCATGAAACACTGAAGACACACTGAACTCAAGATTCTAACAAAACACAGTAGAACAGAGAGATACACGAGGATAAGAAATGACAAAATAAAACAGAAAAGACAAAACTAGGAAACCATCAACACTAGGAAACATTAACACACAAAGGAAACAAGCAACACTGGGATAAAACGGGGAAACTCAAATACAAAACAAAACCAAATCATGACAGTTTGTGTATTTATTTTATGAGGTCATATTCTTTTTTTTAAAATATATATTCAGTGGCTTTGAAGTATCACCCATGTTTATCTCACATGCTACAGTGTGCATTACAAATACCTTCAACATAACAGGAGCTATTATTCCAGCCTGAGATACTTGGACTGAATATTTGAAAATAATCTTCAAATATTTGTGTATCGACATAACATCTCGTTGGATTTATGTTACATTCTTCGAGACTCTAATGTCTGCCTGCATCAGATCCGGCCCTCATCGTGTCTTCTTAATGACTCTAAAGGGATCCAAATGATGATCGCAGCTTTATTACCTCCTTTAAATCGCCTCTGATTGAACTGACTGAACTGATTTAACAACCCTGCCTTCTCTGTGATACGTCGACTGTGTTTCTGTGGTTATTCCTCTCGGTAATAACGCTGTCCTCACTGACCTCCACTCTGCACAAATATAACACACATCATCCACACGAGGAAATATGGCCCACCGCCTTATTAACTACAGCAATGCAATAAAAACCCCTTATAATCATTATAACTGTTATTATTGCTGTGATCCATTCAGTCTCTGTTTCCATAAAATAAGAATTAGTGAAGTGATCTGCTGTTATCATAGAGCTGGAATAAAAAGAACAGGTCCAGGGTGAGCTTAGAGCCACGCGCCTGTCAGCTCCCTGCACGTCTTAATGCCGCACGCGCTGCTGAGGGTGCACTCTGTCTTTTTTTTTTAAACGGAATGAGAAATTGCATTTTCTTTCCTGTGAAGTGTAATGCATTTCAGGCCGGATTTCACGGCTGGATAACACGGAGGGAGGGAGGGAGAAGAGAGCAGAGAGTGAGATTGTCCCGTTCTTATTACCGCGCGCCACTTTCTCAAGCAAATCTGCACATTAATCATAGAGGCACGCGCCAAACACACCTATACACAGAGCTCAAGGACTTCCGGTAAAACAATCTGTTTGTCACAGCATGAACGGGGGATCTTTATTATCCAAGTGGCGCCTCTAAATGCAGGAATACAAAAAAACCTGCATCTGTGAAAATCGTGAAAATTACAACAAACAACAAAAAACACGAGATCTGCGAATATATTTAAACATCCAACTGATTTATTGAGGCAAAGCTTCCTTAAAATCGTCCTTTAATGTTCCTTTTTTTCTCTCTCATATTTCAATTTAAAAAAGAAACAGGTCTGGGCTGTTTTGGTGTTCAATATCAAGATTTTTAGTTAGGCTATTTGTATTTTTATTATTGAATTGTCTAAATTGATTGGGGCAAATTTTACACACAAAAGCTTATCTTTTTGCCTTTTCCATTCACATTTTTTATTTTTACAATTTCGCCTTTAAAATAAGAAACTTTGTGAAAAGTATTTCGATGTCACTGCTGGTGTTAAATCTAAACGTTTAGATGTTAAAAGTCAGGAGACAGAGAATAGTTATGATACACAATTTAAATAATGCACGTTTCATTTATTTTTAATATTTATTTTGCACAGAAATAGAAATGCAAGGCACATAAAGACAATATAAAAACACGAGTATTGGTGTGATAGAAACCTGCAGATGGCTTACATATAAACCTCAGACGACATTAAAGGTCATCTAACTAGATATCAGTTTCCACTTATAAATTGCAGAACTGTTTCAGCACTAATATTATTAATTAAATGCACATTTCACGTTGTGTTGAGCTGTTTTATCATTTTAAAACAGATCAGGGTTTTTCTGGAGCTGATAAATGTTTGTTGATCACAGACTGATGTCAGAAGCTTTTTTGAAACTCGGCCTGTCAGAGATTAACAGTATCCTCCTCTCTCTCTCTCTCTCTCTCTCTGTCTGCAGGTTTGGTTTCAGAACCGACGCGCCAAATGGAAGAAGCGCAAGAAGACCACCAACGTGTTCCGGGCTCCGGGGACCCTCCTGCCGACGCACCACGGCCTGCCGCAGTTCCCCTCCGCGGCGGCGGCAGCAGCGGCCATGAACGACAGCCTCTGCTCCTTCCACGCCAACGACACCCGCTGGGCCACGGCGGGGATGTCCCAGCTGCAGCTCCCGCCGTCTCTGGGTCGCCAGCAGGCCATGGCGCAGTCCCTGTCCCAGTGCAGCCTCGGCGCCGGACCGCCGCAAAACATGGGTCTATCCAACATGTCGAACGGCTCCGGGCTGCAGTCTCACTCTCACCTCTACCAGCCCACGTTCCCCGGGATGGTCCCCGCGTCCCTGTCCGGCCCCACCAACGTGACCGGCTCGCCTCAGCTGTGTAGCTCCCCGGACAGTGACGTCTGGAGAGGGACAAGCATCGCGTCGCTGCGCCGCAAAGCGCTGGAGCACACAGTGTCCATGAGCTTCACTTAGTAACGAGATCATCTGCGTTTAGTTTTCTGTTCATCATATCCATAAAACGGTGGAGAAACACAACCAGGATTCTTGTTCAACTCACACCTGGCGTTTTTTTTCTCCTCTCTTCTAAATCCCAAAAACCAGAGGGACAACTGAAGCTACATGAAGCAAAGGACTGGTTCTGTTTAAGCTCTTATTTATTATTTCGCATGTAGCATATAACAACTATTTATTTGTCTATTTAATTAAATTATTGGTTTGTTCTGTATTTATTCTTTTGGCACATGCAGCCCCTTAACGTGGCCGGGCTTCAGTGACTTTTTGCTTGGTGACTGACTGTTGCTGTTTTTGAGGACAAATTCAGTGGAAATAAAGAAAAGAAAACAAGGTTACAGATCCCCCCCCCCTTTTTCACTCTGAAGGGGTCAAAGGGAAGCACAGAGAACATGCAGAAACATCCGAAACACCTGGAGGTTTAAACAAACATTAAAGATTCAGAGGAGGACGAGGACAACAACAAAGAAGAGGACTTGACTGCATGTGCGATCCAAGACGAGTTTAGATGAAAAAAAGAAAATAAGAGAAATACTTTAAATTAAGACCTGGAAACTGACTTAACTATAATCTGTTCTATTATAGGATGTTTTGTGTAGAGGAAACAGTTCTTGTTCCCATTTTTGGTCAGTTTGTGGATTAAAAAAAAAAACCTATGTTTTCAACAATTCTGTCTGTGCTTATGATCAAATCTGACTTTTTAAATGTTTGACCCATTTTGTTTCATGGACATGTTTATAATATCGATTCAATGTAAATGATCAAATAAAAATCATTTTCAATTATGTCACATCATGAATCAAACCTCCTTTATTCCAGCTGTTTAAGGGCAGCCATTCAAAGCCTCTTCATCTAAAGTTAAACTGTCATCAGAGTAGAAAAGCCCTGTTTTCAGCCATGAGACAATTCCCATTAGAAAATGTTTTATTTGATGTCCTACGTGCACAAGATTCCCTTCCCCAAATTTGCAGATGCATCCTTTTAGACGGGACAGACGATCGATGCGGGATAGAAAATCTAACATTATTCAATCCAGCTCCTGCATGTCCCCACTCCTCAGTGTTGTCCATTTTAAAGTAAATCCCAAGTAATGACATCATCATGTGGTGACCTCATCAGATGAGTGAACTCATATGCACAAATTGAAGTCATGAAAATCACAGTTTCTTTAAAGCAAACAAATCACAGAAGAACACAAAATGAAATTGAAGCAGTAAATAAATGTCTTCACGAGAAGGCGTTGGTCAGGAATGCAAACAACTGGGGAAATTTTGAGTTATGATTTATGTTCATAGTTTCATGCATCTTAATTCTTCTGGTCGCCTCGTTTCTAAAGGCAACATGATAATTTTACTCAGCTATATACAGTGCAGATTCACATTTTAAAGAGAAACAACAAAATGTGTTGAAAAGAGGAATATTAGTGAACATTATCTCCAAGTTTGATGCACATTCACTTTTGAGTGCATGTAACATTAATGTAGTATTTTTCATTAATACTTTTACATATTTCATCACTGCCTCCAGTTCTACAGTGCTCGTTTGAAACACTTGATCCTTTGTGAAAGTATAGCTGCAAGTTTCGCAGCTTTTGAATGGAATTAATAATTATTCTGTAAATCACAAGACCAGTTCTATAAAAAACCTTCATCATCAAATTGAAGATTTTTTTTAAGGCCGGAGTGTCTGAATGAGAATATATGCAGGTCAACAAACCAAAACGCTCCAATCCCAAAATAATTTAGGCAAGATTAGAGCTGTCAAACTCAATCTCAGGGAGGATGAAACTGATAAATATCTCCAGGGCTGCAAGTGTTATTCTTTAATCTATGAAGCTTTGGCCTGAAAAAAGAAACACAAAATAATGAACACAAAAACCTGCAAAATATGACGCCTCATAGAGAAAAAAAAAAACCGACTGGACTTAAAATTCTTACACTCTGCCTCCCAGGCCTTTTGTGACACCAACAACAGGAAAACAGTTCATTTTAAAATTTGAAAAATATCTTGATCACAGTAACAAACGATCTGATATATGAAGGTGGATTTAAACCTGAAGGCAGGCTTTGGTTTCATGTCTTTGGCAAACTGAGTTCTCTTACTGTACAAAACTTTGGTGGCAAATGTGCCATAAAAAAGGAGGTAGTTATACACACATCACACAGACTGAGGGGGAAGAGGTGTTCACCTGTCATCATAGTGACTATCAGCCTATTGGTGTTGAAAATCTCTCTCTATATATATGGATGTGCATGAACTATAAGCAGAAACAGTAACGTTATGATAATCGACTGATAATAATGATATTAGAAAGCTTAGGCTAAACACTGCATAATGATATGAGGGGGGACTGATAATATTATGCAGGGTAACTCCACCATGAGTACAGCCCTAAGCAACATTTAGCACAGGTACAGCGGCAAGAAGAAACTTAACAGGTGGAAACATTGAGCAGAAATAGACTCATGCTGAACAGAAATCTGCTGAGTTGGGCTTACAGAAAGAGAGATGGAGCGAGACAAACCAACAGATAAACAACAATGAATGGTAAATGGTAAATGGATTTGAGCTTATATAGCCCCTTTCTAGTCTTCTGACTACTCAAAGTGCTTTTACCCCGCAGGTCACACCTACACATTCACACACTGATGGTAGAGGCTGCTGTAGTGAGACCATCAGAAGCAACTAATCCCATTCATACACATTCATACGCCGCAGACGAAGCAATAGAGGGTTAAGTGTCTTGCCCGAGGACACATCGGACATGTGGTGCAGGAGCTGGGGATCGAACCCTCAACCTTCTGGTTGAGAGACGACCGACTTTACCCACTGACAACAACAGCCAGATTTATGGCTGCAGTTCCAGATATAATGGTAAAAGTACGTGGGGTATTAGCAGGAACGAGAAAGTATGAAAATTGACTGATCTGTCTAATAATAAAATTAACAACCATTATGATAATAAAAGAGAGAGGACTCATCATGTTAACTTATGCAGCTCTAATATTGACATTCAAGGTATAGAGTCAGTAGCAGTTTTTGTTTTAGTGTACAGGAAGGTTCCAAACACCGGCAGTTATCTTGTGCTAGCTCGCTAAATTAATGGCTTTTCCCATTTTTTTTCTGTATGGTGGCGATGAGCCCAGGAGGAGGGGCCCAATTCGAACGCTGTGTTTACAAGCTGCAGCGAACATTGCTGCTGACTCTTACCTTTAACAGTTAAAATAAAAAAATGAACGCTGAATTAGTAGATGTTGCAGTTGGAGTCAAGCGGGTCCAGCAGCAAGTCGTCTGCATAGAAACAATATTTGCCTCTCAGGTTTATTTTGTGAGCATATAAAAGGGTCTTGATCCCCATATTGGATTCCACGGCTTGACTGCTTCTATATGTAAAGCAATTAACAAAAATGAGCATCAATGTTTGACTATTTTACATTTAAATTACTTCATGGGGTTAAAGTATGAAATGATCCCGTCTACATGTACGCAGTATGTAAAGGTCTTCTATGATGTCTGTGTGTGTTTTTACAGAAAGAGAAGAAGCGATCCGGAGGCAGTGAAGCACCAGGATGAAGATTTTTGTAGTCAAGCAACACATGTGAAATAATATTACATAAATGTAATAATTTGTTTCACTATCACCCGGGTTAATTAGTTTGTGGAAACGAGTAACCTATTTCTCATTGGGTAATTTGTCACACACTGACGAGGTAGCCAATCAGTGACCCTGCTGCTGGTGGGATCATTTCTCCCAGAATGCTGTGCAGCGAGTGTGTCGCGGAAAATGTGAGAGCGAGCCAATGTTTACCTCCTATTTATTCCACACAAATAAATGAAATCAGTCAATAAACCATCCAAGGGTGAATATGGCTCTCTCTCTCCTGGATTATGAATGAGAGCTCATTAATTTTCCTGCGTGTGTGTGAGAGTGTGTGAGAGTGTGTGAGCAAGTGTGTGTGTGAGCAAGTGTGTGTGTGTGTGTGAGAACAAGATGTGTGGATGTGTGTGCATGTAAAGGTGTACATGCATGTGTGTGTTTGCGGATAATGTGTTTTGTATGCTCATATTTGTGCTAACGAAAAGATATGTTGGAATAAAATAATATGAATTAATATATTTTTGTATGAATATATATTGTGTATTATTCATGTGTATAAATATTTAACTGAATAGGCCACCATTTTTGCAACATTTAAGGAAATACACTTCCTGGCTACCTAAGGAAAGTTTAATGAAGAGATCACATATCTTTCCCTTACGTATGAAGCTAGTCGGTTGGCTTAGCTTAGCAAGACTTGCATAGAAGAGAAACAGCTAATAGGCTATGCCAAAAATAAAACCCAAGAAGAAACACATCTCTGGCTCATGCATAAATTATTTATATCCTTTGTTTGGCGTATTTATTTTCCAGAAGCTAAGTAGTTTCTTCCTTTAAAGACGAGAGAAAGACGGAAACAGCGATCTCGTCTCTGAAGCTTCCGGGCTCAACAAGTCAGAAGAACACAGACTTACAAATGATCATAACTCCCTAAAAACACAACTTTTCACAAAAGATTTATGTACAAATCAACACATAAATAAAAGTTTATTGTGAGCTCTAGAGGTGCTGGTCAGCAGATTTTGTTAATTAAAAAAATCAGAGCCAGGCTAGCCGTGCTGTTAGCGACTATTGTAATTTTTTTTTGAAGCTGCAGCCATAAATAGTTAGCGTAGCTTAGCATAAAGGAATCTAAAGGATGAGAGTGGAGAGAAGAGACACAGAAAGAAAGAAAAAACTGCTCAGTATGTTGGAGCATGTGAGTGTTATTTGAACACAGACTTTTACGTAGGAGCTAACCGCTTTTAGTCAGCGCAAACATTATCTTAGCATTAAAGCTAATGTCAGTGTGTCAGAAATCATCGATATTCCCATCACCTGAGCTGTACATGTTTTGCAATTTTTTGTATCCAACTATGTCTTTTGCAAAATAAAAAGAAGTTGATCTTAATACTATGTTATTATCTATATGAAAACATCGAGTTATTTGTTTTTAGGGGGATGAGGGATAAGCCTAGAGGCCTGGTGGGTTTCACATTTGAGTTATGAATCTAAATTCATGAGGAGTTTAATTTTATTTGACAGGCAGAATCACGGAGTATCTTGGAGATTGTTATGCCAGATGTTGGCGAGAAAATCCCATTTGAAGGTTTTTATTAATTTCGGTTAAAAACGAGTCGGTCGGCCCGTCGCTGTCTCGGCTCTCTCACCGACGACGGCTGATTGACACCTCGCTGCTCCCTCCATTTGTCATTGTTTGAAAAGGGTCTTAATTGTATTACATGCAAATGAAGAGATTTGATTTTTGCCCATTATCTATTCATAAGAGAAAATGAACAGAACATTAGTGGGTCACTAAATGAGGGAGGAAGGGAGGGATGAGACAGACAGTTATGATGTGAGAGAGAGAGAGAGAGAGAGAGAGAGAGAGAGAGAGAGGAGGAGGAGGATACGGAGTCAAAGACAAACAGCAGCTTTACATCACTGAGCTGTTTGTCTTCTAAGTTTTTTAATTTGTACAAAAGTAGTCCTCTCCTCCACATGTTTGAACTGTGTGTGTGTGTGTGTGTGTGTGTGTGTGTGTGTGTGTGTGTGTGTGTGTAATAGGTCAGGGCTGATAATTAACCTATGATGACTGAAACACACCAATTACAGTCAGACTCATGTGACAAATCAAAGTGACAAGCTTGGATACACCCAGCC